GGGGAAATAAACACAAAACATAATAATCCTGTTTTTTTCTCTTTCTTCTTCTTCTTCTTCTTCTTCTTTCTGTGTGTTTGTTTGTACTGCTGGGGAGGGGGGGGGGGAGACGAACAAAGGTGTTAACAACAACAACAACAACAATAAAGAGCTCCCGCTCCCATTTTCCCCAGCAGTACAAAAAAAGAGAAATAAAAATTAAGAATATAATAACAAAAGAGAGAAGAAGAAGAAGAAGAAGAAGAGGTGCAATGTGAACTGCAAAGAGGGAGGGAGAGGCGGGGAGAAATGTGAAAGACGGAGGCGAGTCATTGCAGAATTTCTTCCATCACACAAGAAGAGAGGAGGACAATTGACTTTTACGCCCCAACGCACCACAACCAACAAAAACAACAACTTGTAATGATAACTTTTTTTTTTTTTTTGTAAAAGAAAAAAAAAAGGCGTAATTTTCTTTTGTTTATCTTTTATGGGTTTTTTTTTTCCTTTTTTGTTTTGTTTTGACTGCTTTTTTTTTTTTTTTTTTTTTTTTTTTGATCAGCGGCGTGTGTAGTTTGGCGAAAGGGAAGGGAAATGAAGGGGGAGGCGAGAGGAGCGGGGACCACATGTGTGGTGAGCATCCGAGCGTCATTCCAACTTTAAAATTCGTGGACGGGGCCGGAGAGGGAGAGGGAGAGGGAGAGGGTGGAAGCGGGCATTTGGGAGGAAATGGGGGACTGCTGTGCGTGTTTAATGTGCATGCAATGGCTGTTTGTTTGTTTGTTTGTTTTTGGTTTTGGTTTTGGTTTTGTTTTTTTTTGGTTTTCTTGGGTTCCAATGTGTAAAGTTATGTGCTTTCAACTTGTTTGGATTGTCAACTTTCTCGGATGTTCCGATGTCTTCTTCGGCGGCATAATAAGTACTCATATGTGGTTTGGGTACTCTTGTCGATCATCCAACAACAACAACAACAACAAGAAGAAGAAGAAGAATAAATGTGAAAAGAAAAGCACAAAAGGCATATATATATATATATATATATATATATCTATCTATATATATATATATATATTTTAAATGCTGGAGATATATATATATATATAAAGAAGGCATGGACGTTACTACAGTGGGTGGAGATGGAAGAAGGAATGGCTGTGAGATGTGACGTTTGTTTTTGTTTTGTTTTTTTCCCCCTAATTGACATGCGTATGTCTCTTACAACGGCTCCATTCCTGTACGCGTTGGCATGTACTCTCCTTCTCTTTCCCCAATCCTTTTTTTTTTTTTTTTTTCTCTTTTGTTTTTTCTTGTTTTTCTTTTTTTTTTTTTGTGTGTGTGTGTTTACATGCACGTACAATACGATTGGTGGACATCAAATGAATCTTTTGTAACACTTGAAGGCCATGTTTACTTATTTATTTATTTTATTTATTTTATTTATTTATTTTTTATTTTTTATTTTTTAACTTCCACACAGAAAATTTTGACGAAATAAATAAATAAAAAAGTAAATATAATTTTATAAGTGTTTTGTTGGGTTTTTTGTTTTTTTTTTTTTTCTTTTTTTTTTTTTCCCCCCTCCCCATTTGGACGCGAAGGGGGGAGAAACAAGACGGGTTATGTTCTCAACAATGCGCATTTTACTCCGCACCGCCACGATCGGCGTCGCCACGGGGACAATGGCGATGACAACAACTTTGGTGTCTGGTGCACATCTTGCCGCAGTACGGTGGTCCTCCTCCTCGACGTCGGACAATTCACCGGCACTCTTGTCGCAGCGAAGTTTTTTTTCCGGAGGCGCCGATGGTCGCTCCTCCGCGTCGATTGTCGTGGTCGATGCTGAGCTTGCCGCAAAGGAGCGTGACCGCATCGCACGTGAGATGTTGTCGCAGAACATGCCTAGCCCTCATGCCGAGGAGCGATTGGTGGTGACGATGAGGGGACTGGAGCACACTGTGCCGTATACCCTTCGTATCGTTCTGAACGGGCCAAACGAAGCAAAGAATGGTGAAGTCATAGCGGGGAAAGTATTAAAAGAGGCCTTCGAGGTTGTGGATCAGCATTTGAATCACTATAACCCGGAGAGCGAGGTGTCGGCAATCAACCAGCTTCCTTTAGGGGCGAAGCACACCATGTCACAGCACATGCGACGTGTGATGGAGTGTTGCGTACGGGTCTACGCATCCAGTGGAGCCTGCTTTGACCCTGCCACAGGACCGCTGGTTGAATTTCTTCGTTCTGTCATGAAGGATGAGAAGAGTGACGCAGAGTCAACACTTACGGAAGAGGAAGTGGAGCGCTTTTGCCTGCCTCAGAGTTTTGATGTAAATATGACAGACGGCACCATCGCCCGCAAGCACGAGGGTGCCAAGTTGGATTTGGGTGGTGTAAACAAGGGCTACACTGTGGACCGTGTGGTGGAAAAGCTTAACGCAGCTGGGATGCGGGATGTGATGTTTGAATGGGGAGGTGATTGCCGTGCAACGGGAGTGAATTATCAGCATCAGCCATGGGCCATTGCCATTGTGCGCCCACCGCCTGTCGAGGTGGTGGAACAGCACGCCAAGGAAGGGTTGGATGAAAAAAAGGAGGCATCACAGTTGCTTCGACTCATGTATCTTGACGATGAGGCACTTTGTACGAGTGGCGACTATGAAAATGTCATGTACAGTCCAAAATATGGTGTCCGCAGCAACATCTTTGACTGGAAAAAGAGAAGTCTGCTGGAGCCAGTTGAAAGTGAACTGGCGCAGGTTTCCATCAAGTGCTACAGTGCAATGTACGCTGACGCACTTGCAACGGCAAGCCTCATCAAACGTGACATTTCAAAAGTACGGCATATGTTGGAGGAATGGCGTCACTCGCGAAATCGCGTCACGAATTACGTTACCTACACACGACAGGGCGAACGCGTAGCCCGTATGTTTGAAATAGCAACAGAAAATGCCGAGATTCGCAAAAACCGTATTGCCGGTTCTCTTCCTGCACGCGTAATTGTTGTGGGTTGTGGTCTTGCCGGGTTGTCTGCAGCCATCGAGGCCACCGCCTGCGGAGCCCAAGTCATCCTGCTGGAGAAGGAACCGAAGGTTGGTGGCAACAGCGCCAAGGCAACGTCCGGCATCAATGGCTGGGGCACACGCGCACAGGCACTGGATGACATCCAAGATAACTGCAATATATTTGAGCGCGATACGCACAAATCGGGTCTCGGCGGCAGCACCGTCCCCAGTCTGGTGCGCACACTCTCCGTAAAGAGCGGGGATGCCATTTCTTGGCTTTCGTCGCTTGGCGTTCCACTGACAGTGCTTTCGCAGCTTGGCGGGCACAGCCGCAAGCGCACGCACCGTGCCCCCGATAAGGCAGACGGCACTCCTGTGCCCATTGGCTTCACCATCATGCGGACGCTTGAGCAGCACGTTCGCACGAAGCTGGCGGATCGCGTTACGATCATGGAAAGCACTGTCGTCACTTCGCTTCTAAATGAGATCAAAGGTACACCCGATGGTGGGCGTGAAGTGAGAGTCACGGGCGTTACTTACAAGAAGTCCGATGAGAAGGAGGCAGGTTCGATGAAACTTACCGCGGATGCCGTCATTCTCGCCACCGGCGGCTTTTCAAATGATCACATGTCGCAATCACTCATTGGCGAGTTTGCGCCAGAGTTGTCCGGCTTCCCCACAACCAATGGACCGTGGGCCACGGGTGACGGCGTCAAGCTTGCACGACGCCTTGGTGCCACACTTGTCGACATGGAAAAGGTACAACTTCACCCGACAGGCCTCATCGACCCGAAAGACCCCGCAAACCCGACCAAGTACCTTGGCCCGGAGGCGCTGCGTGGGTCGGGCGGCGTCCTGCTAAACAAGAAGGGTGAGCGGTTTGTCAATGAGCTTGAACTCCGTTCCGTGGTCTCCAACGCCATCATTGAGCAGGGCGACGAATATCCATATTCAGGCGGTAGCAAGTTTGCCTTCTGTGTGCTCAATGACGCAGCGGTGAAGCTCTTTGGCGTCAATCTGTTGAACTTTTACGCAAATACTTTGGGAGTGTTTAAGCGTGTGGATGACCTGCAGGGGCTGGCAATGCTCATTGGTTGTGATGTTTTAACTTTGCAGAATACGCTGGAAACATACGAGTCAAGCAGTATTGTTACCTCCGCGTGTCCATTTACGGGAAAGGTTGTCTACCCGTGTGTGGTGGGACCGCAGGGTCCCTTTTATGTTGCCTTTGTGACGCCGTCGATCCACTACACAATGGGCGGCTGCCTCATCTCGCCCTCGGCAGAAATTCAGCGTGAACACTATTCTCTGAACCTTCTTGAGAATCAACGTCCCATTCTTGGCTTGTTTGGTGCGGGCGAGGTGACGGGCGGGGTGCATGGTGGAAACCGGCTTGGTGGCAATTCGCTGCTGGAATGCGTCGTCTTTGGCCGCATTGCTGGGGATCGTGCCGCAACAATCCTGCAGAAGCAAGTGTATGCGCTTTCAAAGGATAAGTGGACATCCGTTGTGGTCCGTGAATCCCGCAGTGGTGAACGGTTTGGGACCGGCTCTCGTGTGCTGCGGTTTAACCTTCCGGGTGCCTTGCAGCGTTCTGGACTTTACCTCGGCCAGTTTATTGCCATCCGCGGTGAGTGGGATGGCCAGCAGCTCATTGGGTACTACAGCCCCATCACATTGCCGGATGAACGTGGCGTCATATCTATCCTTGCCCGTGGGGACAAGGGGACTTTGAAGGAGTGGATTTCTGCCATGCGCCCTGGTGACTCCGTAGAGATTAAAAGTTGCGGTGGCATTCTCATTGAGCGCAATCCGGCGAAGAAGCAATTTCTCTTCCACGGACATGTTATACGGCAATTCGGGCTTATTGCGGGGGGCTCAGGCGTGGCACCGATGCTGCAGATCATTCGTGCCGCGCTGGAACGCCCATACGTGGATACAACGGAGTCCATCCGTTTAGTTTACACCGCCGAGGAATATGAAGAGTTAACGTACCGTGAACTGCTTCATCACTATTCCAAGGAGAATCCGGACAAGTTTTCCGTTGAATTTTCTCTTAACAACCCACCGGAGGGATGGACCGGGGGTGTTGGCTTCGTTGATCGTCCGTCGCTGCGGAAAACACTGCAGCCTCCTTCGAATGATCTGCTTATTGCCATCTGCGGCCCGCCCGCTATGCAGCGTGCAATGAAGAACGACCTGCTGGCTATGGGCTATAACCCAGCGCTTGTGCACACGGTGGATGATGACATGCAAGCCGCACTGTAACCCAAAAACCGACATGAAAGAAAAAAAAAAGGAAAGAAAGAAACAGAGAGAGCGTGTGTGTGGTGTGGTGTGGTGCGCTGTGGGAAAGGAGGAAAACCACCTTACATTTTTAAAAGAATCATCGAACAAGATTTCAAATGTTAAGAAAATGATGAAACAACAACAAAGCAATATAAAATTCCCCATCGCATCCCGTTAAGTTGTAGTATAAATGATTTCCTGTAAAATAAATCCTCCAAATTTGTTTTTTAATTATTTGTTTGTTTTTTTGTTTTTTTGTGGTTATTATTGATTCCTTTTTCTTCCTTCTCCGCTTCCTTTGTGAAAGGGGATTGGGGCTTCTGCCGCGTAATTGACCCTCGACTTTTCTTTTCTTTTTTTTTTTGTGTGTGTGTGTTTGCATTTGTGAATTTCTACGCATATCCGTTTCATATGATGCGTGGACTGAAAGGAATTGTCTTGGACTCTCTCTATTGGGTATGAAATGTGCATGCATATTGATATAAATATATATATTTATATATATTTTCCGTGTGTGGTCATAATGAAAGTCTGGAGAGAAAAAAATAAATAAATTAAATAAATGTTGTCTCCCTTCCTCCCTTTTTTTTTTTTTTTTTTTGATTTAAAAGGGAAACGTAAGACGTGGACGCATCCTTCTTTGCCTCTCTGTGTGTGTGTGTGTGTGTGTGTGCGGTACTCTGTAGGGGGAAGCATTAGGACGGCTTTGTAGGCGGGGAGGGGTCTGTCTTTTAGGAAGAAAAAAAAAAAAAAAAGAATTGCGTCGGGGCGAGCACAAATAAACACACGACGTCAATCAAAAAGCACACACGTTGATTTAATGCAGGCTGCTGTTTTGCAGTGTCTTTTGTTCCTTCTTTGGAATGTGACAGCCGCGAAGTGTGCCCTCGGCTCCGCCGTCATTGTGGCACCGTTTTGGGCGATGATCATCAAACCGTTGCTGCAGCGACTTTGTGTCCCGGCGAAATGGAGGCAGCAACAGCAACAGCAGCAGCAACAGCATGCGACGCCACCACCACCGCCAACAGTCGCAAGTCAGAAATCCGGAGCTGCGGGGCAGAGATCGTCAGCGTCGCGGAAATCCTCATCGCCACGGCGCGGTGGGAAGGCTTCGGGTGCTGGAAAAAAACAGGCATCCAGGGAAGAGCCACGTGAAAAGGACCCATCTTCTTTTGAGGCTGTTGCTGCAACTGCTGCGGCGGTCTTGCAACCGAGCACGTCTCATACGGCGTCCATCACGAACGAGGCGCTTGTTTCGCTTTTTCGGTCGCCAGAGTTTACCAGCTGGTACAGTGGCCACCGTGACATTCTCCTGGAGCGGGTGCATGTACGGTGTGCGCAGCGGCTGTGGGAGTCACTTGCCGTCATGGTGGCGTTGTTAATGGGGATGTTTCTTCTTCCCTTCTTCGTCCTCAACGACGGGGGCGCAACGTTGTGGGCCCTGCTGCAACGTCGCAGTGACAGCAAAGGATATGTAACGATAAACAATGGGTTGTGGAACCTGCTTTTCACGACAGTTTCTGTGCATGGGGAGCCGTTGTTGATACTTGTGGCCGCTCTAACGCTCTTAACGACGGCCTTTATGCCGGTGGACGCGAAACAAACTGCGTCCACAGCGCTTGTTGCGTTTCTCGTGTTACTGGTAGAGGCTGCCATGGTGGAGCATATGGCGTTGGGTGCCGGGCTATTGATGTTATTAGGAGTTGTGGCATGGCGCGTTTCATGCACTATGGTCTGAAACAAACACAGAATTGTTAAGTAAGAGGGAAGGGGGGAGGGGGGGAAAGAGAGGTTGAAAGGAAAGAAAGGTAGAGCATATAGAGGGAATACGATGAGACTCGCATGTATATACATATAATTTTATTGTATTGCTTTTTGTTGTAGTCTTGTTGACTTTGTGTGTTTGTTTGTTTTATGCCATTGGACCTCACAAGGAAATGTGCGCCAAGCATCCATGTTGCCGAAGGTGGGTAATCATACCCACGTACATGTGTACGTGTAAATACGCACTTATATGTGTTATTTATTTATAGAAAGAGGGACTGTTGTGTATTTGCATGAGGAGGAGGAGGAAGAGGGAGAAAAAAAAGAAAAGAAGGTGGGGCTGTTGTGTGTGTGTGTGTGTGAGAGAGAAGAGAAAATAAGAGAAGAGATGTACACAAAAAGTCGGCAAAAAAAAAAAAGAGCGATGGGGAGGATGTATGTTATACATGTATATCTACACTGCGGGGGATGCGTATCCCTTTTGTTTATTTTAATTTTTTTGTATTCTTTTTTTTGTTTGTTTGTTTTTCTCCCCGGATGAGGCCGCCGTTTGTGTTTTATTCTGCAGGGTTGTGGGAAGGCAACGGATGGACCATCGTTTTTCAAAGCATGAGTATTTTATAAGCTGCAGTTTCACAATTATCTTTTCCGGATTTGTGGCGGCTTCCTACTTTGACATTTCCACCTGTCCGTACCGGTACGATCGCGTGGCGTCCACGTCAAAATGGACAGGCGATAGGGGCGGTGCATGTGAGTCGCATACACCAGGCAGGGGCGAGGTGGAGAGTTCCCACTCCCTCTTTACCTCAATAGCGCAGGGAGGCGACCTCACATGTCACATGGCGGATCTTGTCATTTGGGTTTACATTTTAGCACTTCTGTTATTTATGTCGCATAAGTATTACTACTACCGTGTCATGGGGCTGCATTATTTCCTGTTGGATTACTGTTACTTTCATAATGCTTGCCTTGTACTTTTTTTACTGTGGTGCCTCGTCGATGTGCAGTGGTCGAATGAGCCATTAATCTCATGGGAGGTGTACTTGCCACAGGCGTGGCTGAAGGAACGTCAATTGGCCCTTTCCGGCATTCAAAGCGGTGGGTTTGGTAGAAGCATCAAAGACATTGCCGCGAAGTCAACACCGTTAGTTAACCGGACGTGGACCGACTGGGCCCAACAACTCATTCCATCCACAGCGCGGCAGATGATTCTTGTGGCAGGAATTTATCAGCCCGTGTCGGTGAATGTTCGAACCATTGGATATGCAGCCGCAGAGGTATCGAGCACGGATGAGGTTTTACTGAACTTTCTTTCCTTTTTTGCCCTTGTGGCAGGGAGTTTTGGACCCATTTTGGGTGCCATATTGGTGTGGAGTAATTCCCTGTTGTTTCACTCCTTTGATCGCATGTCCTCTAGCTACCTCCATCTTGCCCCCGCGGTGACCCAACTGCTACTGCTGCATCGCCTCTTCACCAGCGCCAAGAGGGAACTTGCATCTTTTGAAACGTCTCCGAGCGGAACCGCTGCTGCTGCTGCTGCTGCAGGTGGTGGTAATGATGTTGGAACGCTGAAGCACCGAGTGGATGCTCTCTGCGTCACGGGGACCCTTTGCCACGATCTGCGACACGCCGTCTCCTACTGGACGATGCTGAAGCTTCATTTTGTGATGTTCATTGCATGGCAAATTTTTTATCATACATTTAGTGAAAGTCGTCGTCGTCGTCGTACAAGGAAGTACCAGAAAAAATTAAAAGAAATTGCTTTGCGGCATGAAGAATTTTGCCGTCTCACTGGCACAACATTAGAGGAGGCCCAACTGTTGCGGCCTATATTTGTTCTTTCGGAGGGAATTGTAGGGGATCCCACGCAGCGTGTCACGGCGTACACGTGGTTGATGGAGCATCCTCCACTTGGTAAAGAAGGGGTACTCTATCGTTTTGTCACCATGTTTGGCACCGGTTATCTACCGACGGTGATACTTTTTCAGGTAGCACAATGGCTGTTGCATATGTGCTTTTTCACATTGGCGTACCCTATTATGTATTACAGCTTTCATGTAGCACTTTCTGCATGGCCATTGGCTTTGTATTTAATTTTCTTTCTTCTCTATACTGTGTATAATGCCGCAGCGGTAAATAAGAGGTGGATTCAGAAACTGCAAAGATTAGCGATGATTGGAATGGAAGCGCAACGTAATCATGGAGAAAATTACTTCCCTCGCTTAGATGGCAACGTCAAAAACACCTGAGCCCATGACAAATGGGGGGGAAAAAAAAAAAAAAGAAAATGAGAAGAAGAAGAATGGAGGGGTGGATATAAGAAGAGAGACGCATGCTATTAAACCGGAAAAGAAAAAATAAAAATAGATCCGTAAGATGTATTTTCTTTCTCTCAAGGTATGTATGTGTGTTCATTGTGACCTCAGCGCTTAAAATGAGAAAGAGGAGGTGTTGGTGGCATCGCTATTTTTTTTATTTTTTTATTTTTTTATTATTATTTTTTCATATTTTTTTTCTTTTTTTCATATTTTTTTTTTTTTAGAAGAAAACAAAAGTAGATAACGTGGCGGTGTGGTTTGTTGTTATTCGCCTTATTTATTTATTTATTTATTTAATTTTTTTTTTTTTTTTTCATGGTTCCATCCGTAAGACTGAATGCCCGTGTGCCTGTCATCATCTGCCTTGACCCTTCTTTCTCTCTCCCAATATCTACACATGCATGTCTACATATATATATATATATGTGTTCGACCCTCCCCCAAAGTTTAACCCACTTTGAAAACAGGAGGGTGTGGAGGCAACGACAAAAACATTAACGAGAAAAGAAGAAGAAAAAAAGGAAAAGAAAAAGAAAGGAGGAGAAATGCCAGCAAGAAAGACGAATCGGCAAGGCACAGGAGGACAACGTTATCATAGAAACCGACTTGGGTGCATGTTGGTGCCTCACGGCCGTGTGTCTGGGTTACTTT